AAAAAAAAAAAAAAACAAAAACTTAAACTCCTGGAGCCTGAAACCCGAAGATGGTGTGAGACTTGCTCCTTACACAAGATACCTGTGAACACGAATTCTGAAACGACTCCCAAAGCTACATGGGCGTCCTCGTCTTTCATGATATTCTAGTATGTGTTCCCCCCCTGATTCCCAGTTCGGTCATGGAAACGGTTCTGCACTCCGAAAATCGGTGGGAACTTGCAGTAAGCTCGGTCTTGGAAGCACAAAACTCAAGCTCAACCCATGCTTGGGTTTGGGTGATAGGGTTCTGCAAAGCGTCAACTCCACGTCGATGGTGTAGGACGAACCGTTTGGAGCGTCATACGTCACCATGGAAGTGCAGTCGTGGCGAATATCTGGGCGGGAAGAACCCTAAGCCTATACACTAAACCCTAAACCCTAANNCCCTAAGCCCTAAACCCTAAGCCTAGAACCAGAGTGAACAAAACACCATATCCAAAGCCCTGAACGAAACTCTGCAGCCCCAAGTCAGCCTGAGAGCAACCAAGCCCCTAGCAGTCGAAGGATCCCTTTCTCTGAAGAACCGTACATGAGGTGATGTAGGGGCCGAAATAATTACCAATACTATTTTGTGGGTTCCTTATAGTATGATGGGCCCCAAAACCCTATTCTAATTATCAAGGTCCCGAAGAATACTACTTTGAGGGTTCGTTACTATAAATATAGTATAATGGGCCCCAAAACCCTATTCTAATTAGTAAGGCCCCTATATTACTCCTACTGATTAGTTGTTAGGCTTCTGCAAGATGTCTCCCCCTAACAGTTGATCCATCTCGTCAGAAACAGGTCCTGCCGATAAAAACCTGACTTAATACCCAGCCCTTGTGTTCATCCCCCGGATCGCCCCGACCACTAAGCAAGGCTGTAAGCAAAGGCTAGGACCTTTTCGCACAAGGACTACAAATTATGTACGTATAAGTTCCTAAATCCCGTGTCTAGTGCTTCTCGCCGGGAAGCTTAAAGGCTTTGAATTCGCAACAGCCGCTCGCTCAGCTGCTGCACGTGCAGCACGCCCTTTCCTTGATCGGAACTGAGATTGTCGACTGGGATGTGGGTACTTCTCTAAATTAGGCTCCCTTTTAGGATCCTTTTAGCAAGGGTGCTATTGGGGACCCAAAAAGGAACCCGAATTTCAAGAACCACCCATGTGGGGAGCTTCGGAAACCCCGAAGCTTTAGCGAGGTCTTGGGAGCTTGTGCCCTGTTTCTGAACCCCCGACCCTCCCGAACAACAGCAAATCTGCGAGCCCTGAACCACCCGGCTTGGTCTTAGGGTTTCGAGGTTTAAGTATAGATTTAGAGTTAAAGATGTGGGAGCAAGGATTAAGGTTTTCAGTTTGAGGTTGGAGAGTCGAAGCACCTCTTTGCTCCTTGCACCATAAGAATCTCTGGCACATGTTCCGTTGCATCGGTTTTTGGTGTTCTTCATGTGGCATGTGGAGGGGGGGGGGGGCGGGGTTGCAGATCTATGAGGGCCAGTGCTACCCTTAATTGGCAGTGTGATTGCTTGTTTTTGCGATGTCCACTACGAAGATTGCAAGCCTTATGGGCATCTGCGGAAGCTCGGAGGGGGGCCACAGGGTCAAAAGCTTCGGAGATTCAGCTTTCGCAGTCAGGAGCTGGTCGCATTTGTTATTTTGAGCGGGTGCTTTTGAGGATTAACGGTCATGTAGGGTTCGTGTGGGGGGCTAGCAAAGAAAGCGACGAGGCTTGCGGACTCATGGACACTATAAGCTACAAGGGAGCAGCTACCCGGAGCGTCCACAAGAACTGAAGCTGAGATGCCCGAGCCCCAAACCCCCCAAAGGCAGCCCAGGTGCTTAAATCCCATGCTGCGGAGCTACCGATTGGCTCAACGCAGCGCGGGAGTGTGTGCCGTAATTACTCGGCAACGAAAAAAGGAAGGAAGGCAGAAGGCTTGGGACGTTACTCCTTTCTGTCTCCACGGGAGGGGTTGGGGGTGTTTTGAGGCTATGCCCAAAAACAAAGCCCTGTCTTTAAGCCACTGATGTCACTCGTCTTGCTCCAAAGCCATGTGCAGCGCAGAGGAGCCTTTATGCGTAAGTATGCATACTTGAGCTTCGAGCAAATACGAAGGTCGCATTCTAAGCATACACCTTCGTTGGTCAGCCTTTGTTGGACCCATGTGCTTACTATCTGTACGGAAGCACGCTTTGAGCCCGGTGGATGCAGATGGAGAATCGCTCTGTTTGGTCTGAATGACAAAGTGGTTGGCAGACAAAGCAGAAGCTCTCATCCCACGAGCGTCGCAACCGCCAGAATCAAAGTCCTGCTCGTCTGCACCGTTGAGGTGGTCACACTCATGCCGTATGGGCGAATATGGGTAGTTCTCTAAATTAGGGTCCCTTTTAGGGGTCCTTTTTATAAGGGTGACGCACTATATTGGGGACCCAAAAAGGGACCCTAATTTTAGAGAACTACCCATATGTTGATCGTCAAAGCCGAAAGAGCACATGAGAACCTGTGAGGACTGCGATAGCCACGATCGCAACTATGACAGCAGGTTCAGCTGCTGCTGGCGTTAGCAGAGACACTCAAGTGAAAGAAAAAAGCAAGCTCTCTAAAGTGTCATGGTAGTGGTCGTCAAAGATTCTCTCTTGAACAAAAAGGAATCTATATCAAAGCAATACTTGCCCTTAACGACAATCCAGCCGAGGCATCAGGTCAGAAGCCAAGTTTTTCAGGCACGGGAAATCCAAAGTCACGTTTTTTTTCCAAGTCGCATCCGACCAGAGGTGCTGGGGTTTACAATCACATGGTTGAAACAGCACCTTCGGAAAGCCAAATGAGCTAGTTATGTAGTTAGATGCAACAACTCACGGACAATGCTAAAGATGATGGCATGGCATAAGACATTAAGCAGATCATAGGTGTTAACAGAGGTCTGTTCCTTACATCTATGTGTAAGCATACATACATACATACATACATACATACATACATACATGCATGCATGCATGCATGCATGCATGCATACATGCATACATACTTACATACACACATACATTCATACATACGTACGTACATACATACATGCATGCATACATACAGACATACATAGATATGTTCTTAGAAATGCACATAGTATATATATATATATACAGATATAGTTATATGTATATGTATAGGGATATGTATCAGTATATGTGTGTCTATGTACACATATCATATGTATACAATACTTCGACCATCGAAGTCCTCAATGTTTTTCCTCGCGTGGCATGAGCTCAATGGCGGCCAAAGCATCCGTCTCCGCCTTGAGGTCATGCTCCTGATGGCTCTAAACCTTACAACCCTAAACCCCTAAACCCTAAACCCTGAAACCCTAAAACCCTAAACCTTAAACCCTAAACACTATAAAACCTAAACCCTGAACCCTTAAACCCTTAAACCCTAAACCTTAAACCCTAAACCCCAAACCCCAAAAACCCTTAAACCTAAACCCTAAATCCCTGAACGAGCCCACGATCTTCCTCGTAACGCAACTGCTGTGAGGTCGGCGCCAAGCAGATAACTGCAGGAATGCATACTGAAACATCCACAAAAACTTTTAGGTTTAAACATTTGTGGTTCAAGTTTAGGGTTTAGGGCTTTTGGGATTTAAAATTTAGGGTTCAAGTTTAGGGTTCAGGGCTATTAGGATCTAAAATTTAGGGGTTTTAGGATTTAAGTTTAGGGTAAAAGTTTAGGGTTTCGGGGAAGTGTTGCATCCTCATGCCCATGGACTGGTGGGAGATGCGAGGATGATCGGGACGACCATATGCAACGATTAGCACACATGACACGGCAATCTGAGATATCCCTCTCACGACAACTATCCGATCATCATCGTCACAAACATTTGGTCTGCCTCCGGTCTTACTTGATATTCTCATTCATCCCCATCCGTATGGTAACATAGCGGCAGCAGCAGCAGCAGCAGAAAGAAGCAGCCGAGTGGCATAGCGGCTCGCTACCAACGCTTGCAGCTCCATGCTCCACGACCTCGTTAGTGGCTCGGGGTTGTTGTAAGGTTTAGGGTTTAGGGT